GAAGCCCATTAAGTAATATTAGGAATTATTAATTTTCTCAGGCATAACCATATTGCAAGCAAATGTCCTTAGATTTTGGGTATGCATGCTGAAATATTTAAGCATAAAATGCCTTGATCGCTATAATTCACATTGAAATGCACCAGCTAAACATATATATTTTATATGTGTGTATGTATATATATACACACATATATAATTCTATATATCTATATATATAGAGATATATATTTGCCATTTGCCTTATTTTCAAATAAGGAAAAATGTTGCAGTATTGGATTAGGTGGTGGGTATGTGGGTATTTATATTCTTCCTACTGTTTTAAAAGTTTCCTAATAAAAGAAATGTAAGAAGCAATCAGCCTCTTTTAAAAGGAGGTTATAACGTTGCTCAGCTTCTTTTAGAAGAAATCAGGACTTCCCTGGTGGTCCAGTAGTCTGTCTTGCAGTGCAGAGGTTGCAGGTTCGATCTGTGGTCTGGTCAGGGAACTAAGATCTCACATGCTATGGGGCACCTAAGCCCGAGAGCCAGAGTAAAGATCCCACATGTCTCAACTAAGACATGATGCAGCCAAACATTAAAAAAAAAAAAAAGAAAAGAAAGAAAAAGCAACTATAGAAGCAATCAACCCAGTGTGGAACTCAGCCTCTCCCTGCATGCTGCTGGGAAATGGGAGGCTCTGGGTCCTGGGTGGTATCCGACATTGTTGCATGGCCTTTTAAAGACAGCTCCCTCTGTGGTTATTTATCAGCACATAACTGTGTTTGATAACTGGCTGACATCTCTATCGCCACTATATTTAGAAGTTGATGGTTTAATGACAGGCAATAAACAGCCTTGGAATGTGATCTATTCTCATCTGAGAGTCATCTGACAGGGGCCAATAAAATTTAACACTTTAAGAGTCAGCAGGTACTTTAACCCTTAGGATAATCTCTTTGTCCCTATTCTTTGGGAAATAACACAATTGCAAGACTATTTCGGGAAAGTATGACGTTAATGGTCAAGAAAGTACAATAAACAAAGAAACAGGGACATCCCTGGTGATCTAGTGGCTAAGACTAGTTCCCTAGTCAGGGAACTAGATCCCATATGCCGTGACTAAGACCCGGTGCAGCCAAATAAATTAAGTAAATAAATTTAAAAAGAAAGAAAGAAAGAAACAGATGGCCCTGACCTGCTGAAAGCCAAATGCCCACAGATGCCACTGGACAGAACTAACCATTGTACCTGCAATTGTTCTCGCTGGAGCATTAAAACAAACCAGCACGGTGAGAGTAGCTCTAAGCAAACAATGCCAAATGCTGGAGTGGCTCATTTCATCTTTCCTATCAACTCCTTTTCATGTTAATCATTTCTGTTTTCTCTACTCCACATTATGGATGATTCTTCCAGATTACTAATTCTCTATCAATGGATTGAATGAGCCTCTTTATCTCTTTGAACAGCTTTAGTCTCCAAGCATGCTCCCCATCTGAGTTTCTTGGTTGTAAAGTCACCTGCTGATTTGTTCTCCTGAGGGTGTTTTTTATTTTGGCTCATCTTGCGAACAGTTGTCTTCCAAGGGAGCTCCCTGTCTGGAGGTATCCCTGGGGCTGACTTAAGCTTTTGCCTGTGTTCAGCCCTCTGAGATTCACAGGTTCCAAACCACATTTAAGTTATTAAGTAGTTTGGACATACAAAAATATGAATTGCACAATGAGCTCCCATAGACCCTCTGTACACTTCCTTGAATACATCTCTCCATACCCACCCCACCTTGAATGTAGCATTTAACAATCCTATGCATTTCTTTTTGTTTTTATTATGATACTTAACACCAAACAATACATATATTTTAAATTTATATTAATTAATATAAAATATTAATTTATATTAATAATTAATTATATTTATTATATCAATTAATGTATTTATATATTAATTAATATAAATTAATTAATTTATATTAATTAATTTATATTTATATTAATGTTAATTGTAAATTAACATTTACAATGTTAATTTCTGCTATACAGTGAAGTAATTCAGCTATACATACATATGTAGTATACACACACATTCCTTTTCATATTCTTTCTCATTAGATTTATCACAGGATATTGAATATAGTTCCTGTGCTACACAGTAGGACCTTTGGACAATGTATTATTTAGTGATGTTTTCACATTACATACTATTTTTTTGTGATTTGCTTTTTTCCTTCACATTGTGAGATTAATCCACACTGGTATGTTAGGCGTACTACTGCTGCATGTATATATTGTATGACTATACCACCATTTCCCTACTGGAGAACACTTGAGTTTCTTTTTCCTCCCCCCTTACAATTAGTAACATCAAGGATTCATGTACATTAATCTGTGTGACTGTGTTTAGGGTGTGTTACCAGAAGTGGAAACACTGTGTTGAAAAGAATATACCTCATTTTTAGTAGGTACACAGCACAAGTGAGGGAGCACACAGAGAAAAAAAGTTTATTTAAGATTGAAGTAAAGCAGAAAGCAGGGTTTCCCTGGTGACTCAGACTGAAATCTGCCCATAAGGGGAGAGATTCAATGTCTGAGTTGGGAAGATCCCCTGCAGAAGGGAATGGCTACTCACTCCAGTATTCTTGCCTGGAGAATTCCATGGAGAGAGGAACCTGGCGGGCTAGTCTATGGAGTCAAAAAGTCAGACATGATTCAGCAACATTTTCACTTTCAAGATAGAAAGACAGATGGGTATCCTCTCTGAGGAGTGCAGTAAAAATTAAATACACATATAGGACAGTTCTGGGTCTTTGTTTACACTTGTCCAGTTATCTTTTTTCACACCTGACTAGTCCCTAAGACCCTCCCCAAGATGTGTGCAACTTTTTGCCAAGGTGGAGTCCACTGCAGAGTCCTGTGCAGAGTCCTGATACCTGCCTCTTGAGAAACCTGTATGCAGGTCAGGAAGCAACATTTCAGACTGGACATGGGACAACAGACTGGTTCCAAATAGCAAAAGGAGTACGTCAAGGCTGTATATTGTCACCTTGCTTATTTAACTTATATGCAAGAGTACATCATGAGAAACGCTGGGCTGGAGGAAGCACAAGCTGGAATCAAGATTGCCAGGAGAAATATCAATAACCTCAAATATGCAGATGACACCACCCTTATGGCACAAAGTGAAGAACTAAAGAGACTCTTGATGAAAGTGAAAAAGGAGAGTGAAAAAGTTGGCTTAAAGCTCAACATTCAGAAAACTAAGATCATGGCATCTGGTCCCATCACTTCATGGGAAATAGATGGGGAAACAGTGGAAACAGTGGCTGACTTTATTTTTCTGGGCTCCAAAATCACTGCAGATGGTGATTGCAGCCATGAAATTAAAAGACGCTTACTCCTTGGAAGGAAAGTTATGACCAACCTAGACAACATATTAAAAAGCAGACACACACACACACACACACACACACACACACACACAAAATAATAAAAAATAAAAAGCAGAGACATTACTTTGCCAACAAAGGTCTGTCTAGTCAAGGCTATGGTTTTTCCAGTGGTCATGTATGGATGTGAGAGTTGGACTATAAAGAAAGCTGAGCGCTGAAGAATTGATGCTTTTGAATTGTGGTGTTGTAGAAGACTCCTGAGATCCTAAAGATCAGTCCTGGATGTTCACTGGAAGGACTTATGTTGAAGCTGAAACTCCGATACTTTGGCCACCTGATGCAAAGAGCTGACTCATTTGAAAAGACCCTGATGCTGGGAAAGATTGAGGGCAGGAGGAAAAGGGGATAACGGAGGATGAGATGGTTGGATGGCATCACCAACTCAATGGACATGGGTTTGGGTAGACTCCGGGAGTTGGTGATGGACAGGGAGGCCTGGTGTGCTGCAGGTCATGACTGAGCGACTGAACTGAACTGAAGATTACAAAGAACCCAAGGTCAGAAAATAACAATGGGAGCAGGTGACCTTGCCCCGTAGTAGTACCTAACAAGGCAATTTCAAGGAGGAAAAAAAACTGGCAGTGACTAAGGAAAATAAGTTGGAAAAAAATCTTTGCTGAGTGGGGACCAAGCTGTAAATGTTCCGTAGAAAAATGCAAAAGATGTGCAATTTTTAAAACATGAATTATTAGATACAGAAACTGGTACACTCCAGTTAGAATAGTGATGGTAGATATAAACAAACAGGCAGTCTGAAGGAGACTGTCATTTTGAGTATAAGTCAGGACGAGGCTCCACTCTTAAGGCTGGGGACACAGGTTCAATCCCTGTGGTCAGGAAACTAGATCCCACATGCCACAACTGAAGACCCTGGATGCTTCAACTTAACTGGCACAGTTAAGTAAATTAACATTAAAAAAATAAAGTGGGACAATTTTATGGAACATATACTATTACTTTTAAAAGCCCACATCCTTTGACTCTGAAACTTCAAATGGGTACAAACAGGGAATCAGACTGGTTTATAGCTTGAAAGAAACTCAAATGCCCCCTACCAAACAAATTTATAATACAGCTCTAGAGCAGCCTACTCTGTACATGCTAGTGGGGAATCACCTTTATGACAGTGACAAAAAGAAGCAAAGGGTACTTTCTCTCCAATTTTTTAAACTGTGGTGAAATACACATAAAATTACCATGTTTACCATTAAAAAAATTTTATTGGGATATAGTTGATTTACAATGTTAGTTTTAGGTATACAGTAAACTGAATCAGTTATACACACAAACACTTTGGGATCCTCTTCTCTTATAGGCTATTACAGAGGACTGAATTTCCTGTGCTATACACGTCTTTATTATTCATTGGTAATAACAATGTTCATAACATTGAGCAATTATCACCACCATCCATCCCCATGAACTCTTTCACCTTGTAAAACTGAAACAATACCCATTAAGTATTTCTTCACTTCCTCATTCCCAGCTCCTGACAACCACCAGGAGTATTATTCTTCTAAAAATATATCCAGACAACCTATGTTTTCAAAATTCATCAAAAAGAAAACTGGATGACTGTGTTAATAGTATAATTAAAACCTCAAATATTAAAAATGTTATGGTACTCCATCTAGAAATCCTCAACATTGGTGTCAATATGTGACAAACCTAATTTTAGTTTTTTGTAATGTACCTGGAAAGAGCTACAATTAGATGTCAACTGTGATGCTCATTCACTTTCACATCCCTAAATCTTTCTGTACCCTTTTGCTTTTACTCAGATCCACCTATTTTTATTTGCTTTAAAACATTTTATTGCAACCTTTCTAATAAAGATCACCTAATTGATTTTGGTCCCCAAATTTCTAGGCAGCCCACCCCCTCTCCACCGGAGTTTGACAGCTGCTCACACAGGTTCACTCAGGAAACATGTGAAGTTTCAAGGATCTGACCAACACCAGGTAAGGGACATCCTCTGCATCAGCAAAATCCTAAAACTTCATAAAAGAAATACATATTAAAAACATGCAAAAAAAAAAATCCAAGTAGCTGGCATTACAGCATCAATCTGTTATAGATACAAGGGACAGACTGGTATAAACTATCAGAGAGAACAGTGATTAGCCAAAAATGACCTGCAGCAGTAATCACCTTCTAGTATACATAGATACCCAATTATTTACTACACCATATATCTGAAACTAATATAACTACATACCAATTTTACTTTTTAAAGAAAACTGCCACACAAGAAGGAAAGAAGCAAGAGTGGATCAGGTGGTTTCAAAGATCCTCAGAGAACCATTCAGAGACTCTAGTCCAACCAGTTCATCATCACCACTCTGGAGCTGAGAGAAAAACCAGGAAAAGACTTACCATAGTACCCAGGTAGAAGGCATCTTGCTCTCCACTTCTTGTCACAGCCTGTTGCTGAAGTGGCAGGAACCATCACCTGGACATCCCAGCCACCCCAAAAGTGCTTCTCCAAGAGAATTCCAAACTTTAGGCCTTCAGTCACCAGGCTAGCCTGGAATCTCTGTGAAGAGGTACTGCCCTGGCTGGGCTTCCAAAGCTCTCAGGCTAGAAAAAAGATGAAAGCAGGACAACCAATTGAGAAAAACAGTCACAGCCTTCCCACCAGCTCTTTTCAAATATCCAAGTATCCAGTTCCCCCAAAAGAGTCAGAAATTAATTTTGACATCAAGACCAGTATCAGAGACTCTAGTCTGAGAAATCATCATTCCCAATTTAGGGAGATCTGGATCAAGGAAAGCATTAGAATCTAGAACATTCAGAGATGATAGCCCCAATATAAGGATTTGTCAAATTACGAGTTCAGCGATGTAAAGTTCAGGAGAGAAAGGCAGAAAACAAATTTAAACTGCAGAAATATCTCCATCAAGAAAGCACCTTATTAAAAAAAAAAAGAAAGCACCTTATGTAGAGTAACTCATACTAGAAAAAGGGGTGGAGGAAGCAGGTTTAGCAAGGTTGAGGAAAAAAAGTTCGAAGAGTTAAAAAAAGATAACCTGTGAAGAGACAGATAGCAGCACAGCTAATACTTACCCCTCTTTTAAGAATAACACACCGGTGGACGTTTTAACTCCTGATGGAGAAATGAGACACAGGAATACGAGATCAGTAACAGTTCTTGAACAGTAACTTCTCGCCGCAACCAAATACCAAAGATCCCAGCACGGGTGGCGGGGGGGCGCCGTGGAGGTGGTCAGCGCGCTGCGGTGATGGCGTCAGCGAGACACTCAGAATCACCTGGAGTCATCATCACCCCCATCCTCCCCCAGTGAAACCGCCAGCCACTCCAGCTCGCACAATCCACTCACCCTCGTGGTGCCTCGGACCCTCCTTCGAGAATCAGGAGCTTGGAAAGAAAAAGCAGTTAGTCAGGAGAGACCAGGGCGACTCCAGACGAGTCCCCCGTGCCCTGGGCTGGGTCAGTTCCAAGCAGTGGCGTCACAGAGATATCAGAAACTCTAGTCTGTATTAATAATTCATCCCGCTCAGCCCGAGACTGCGGTTCCCCCACTCAACGTGTTCCCGAGGTACCTGCACGCCGGTAGCTGTGCAAAGACGGCGCAGGCTGCAGGCTCCCCCTGCTCTGGGGAAGGTTCCGCAGCGGGCGACAGGCCAACCGCCTGAGGACCATCTTTACTCCGCGCGAGTCCGCCGCACAAAGAGAACTGCACGGGCGGGGCCAGGGCTATTTATTTACGGCGGCGCGGCTTCGGGACCTGACGGGCATGGCTGTCTTCTGAGATGCCTGTCTCGACCCGCAGAATGTTCCTCATCAGTCGTCCACACAAGACGAAAGCAATGTGAAAGAGAGACCACGAGCGAATATTTCACATTCTTCTGGGCAAATATTCGGAGACGTTTTGTGACTTTTTAAATACAAAGAACAGGTGACCTGACTGGTCAGGCCGGAGAAAGTCCCCAGCGCTGCCCGGTGGGCGCACACTTCCTGGATGGCCTCCCAGGAGGTCCAGTCCCAGCTTGTGTAACCTGAAGCCTTGTCTTTAGTTGTCACGTGTCCCAGCAAGGCATTGGTGTTACTCCAAAGGACTGTCATCCCGCTGTCTCTAGGCATCGAAATCTGAATTGGCAACACCCCCACCCCCACCCCCAGCCCACAGACCTGTCAGGCACATTTATTTCTGGTCCTTTTTTTATAAACAGCTTTCAGTTCAGATCAGTCGCTCAGTCGTGTCCGACTCTTTGCGACCCCATGAACAGCAGCACGCCAGGCCTCCCTGTCCATCACCAGCTCCCGGAGTCCACCCAAACCCATGTCTATCGAGTCGACGATGCCATCCAACCATCTCATCCTCTGTCGTCTCCTTCTCCTCCTGCCCTCAGTCTTTCCCAGCATCAGGGTCTTTTCCAATGAGTCAGCTCTTCGCATCAGGTGGCCAAAGTATCGGAGTTTCAGCTTCAACATCAGTCCTTCCAATGAACATCCAGGACTGATCTCTTTTAGGATGGACTGGTTGGATTAAGGTATAAGTTTATCTACGTCAGGGCAGCACAACCTGAAAGTTGTGAATTCTGTTTTATTCTGCAGGCAAAACTGAGGACCTTGAAATATGTAGGCCATCATGTGTGAAATAGACAGCTAGTGGGAAGTTGCCCTGTACCCCAGGGAGCTCAACCTGATGCTTGCTCCCTGAGGACCTGAAGGGGTGGGATGAGAGTGAAGGGGTGGGAGAGAGGTTCAAGAAGGAAAGGATAAATGTATACTTACGGCAAACACAACATTGTGAAGCAATTATCTTCCAATTAAATGTTAAAAAAACAAACACACACACAGAAAAAACACTTAAGACTTTAGCTCAGGTTGCAGCCTCTCAGCTCCGAAGAAGTGGAGCAGCCAGGCTATATAGGGTTTTTGCAACAAAGACCGTGTAGTCAGAACTTTAAAAAATTAAAGAAAAATCAGACATCTCAAGTCAATGAATTTACTCTTTTTCTGTGTATGGGAAGATGCAAAAGTCTGGTCTTGTAAAAGTAATTCCTCAGCCATCTGGGGCTAGTATCCTGTGTTTCCCCAACCTTATTCTACAAGGGGTGCACCGTTGTAGGGGGTGGCTGCATCCACAATTTTTTCCTCTTGCACAACTGAAACTCTGTACTTGTGAACAGTTACTCCCCATTTCCCTCTTTTTCAAGTTTTTTTTTTTTCTTCTTCTTCTTCATCCCACAAGCCATTATTCGAGAACTCTGTGCGACTCCAAATCCTTGAGCCCTTATGTCTCCGGAGAGGGCTCTGCCCCTTGTCCTGGGAAGTGGCTCCACCTATGGGTGGCTCAAGGCATTTCAAAATGGGCTTAAAATACTCAGAGCACCATGCAAAAAGACTGGGGTGAGCGTGTGCCCACCGCAATCATCCACAGTTCTCCATGGGCAAGGCTCCTGAGCAAGGGTACTCCTCCATGGCTCATGTCTTTTTAAGTTCCGTGTACTTTGGCCAAGCCTCACTGCTTGCAGGATTTTACTTCCACCAGGGATCAAACCAGGACCTGGCAGTGAAAGCTCTGAGTCCTAACCGCTGGAGGGCCAGGAAATGCCCTGATGTTGCTTTCTAATGAACTATTTCCCTAAGTGAGGACTCATGAAATTAATTGACTCAGCTTCAGAAATTCTCTTCTTTGGCCTATTAAGCTGTTGGTGGCAATTTCCCTAAAGTTTAGCATTACTATTGCTGCCAGTGAATCAACATTTTAAGGCCTTTCCAGCTTTGATTCACAGCAGAATATCCCTTGCCACCAGCTGCTGCTCCTGGAAACACTGACACCTTCCTCTCCTCCCTCTCTCTTGTCCCCATACCTCTAAAAAAAAATCAGGAATAGCCTCTGGTACAGTGGTTTTTCTCAACTTTGGCTGAAACGTCGTGGTGGCTTTAATGCTATACAATGCCTTGGCCTACTTCCCAAGACTCTGACTCTTATGGGGTGGCCGGGGTGGGGAGTGCATATCAGTATTTCTTTAGCCTCCCAAATAATCTCCATATATCACTACCTTTGCAAACCCTAACTCCAATGATTTGAAATTAAAAGATTTGAGGGACTTCCCTGGCGGTCCAGTGGTTAAGACTCCATGCTTCCACTGCATGGGGTGAGGATTTAATCCCTGGCCAGGGAACTAAGATCCTGCATGTTTCTCTGAGCAGCCAAAAATAAATAAGATGGGGGTTTACTTTTAAAGATTTATTCTATTACCTGGCAGGTTAAGTTTTTAAAAGCCCCCAATTTCTGCTGCTGCAGCAGTTAAACTGCACATACTATAAAGTTATGGTCAGAGCATACAATATCATATTACAGTTCACCTATCTTGTTAATAAGACCAGCCTTTGAGAATTGGTCCAGGAACCAGAAGTATTTATTTTTTTACGTTTACAATCTTTTCCTAAACAAGGCTTCCCACACTTTTGTCATTCCTAAAATGTTTTGGTTTCCCAGAGAGGAATGATTTATTGAAAAATACACAACATGAAACTTTAAGTTGTGTGATTCTGGAGTTGGTATTCACAGGCTCAGTTTTTGGAAGGAAAGAGGTTGGAATTCTAATCGGGCTAAACAAAGTGTTGCTTCGCAGATGGCTCAGTGGTAAAGAACCCACCCGCCAATGCAGGTTGGATCTCTGGGTTGGAAAAGATCCCCTAGAGAAGGAAATGGCAACCCACTCCAGTATTCTTGCCTGGAAAATCCAACGGACAGAGGAGCCTGTTGAGCTACAGTCCACAGGGCTGCAAGAGAGTCTGGATGTGACTAATACAACAAAGTGTTAAGGACTTTTAACTGCTCCAGTAAGCAGCAGCCCCTAGGGAAGGGCTTGTGTGGGAGGAACGCCCATTTCCCCAGCACTACACTGCACAGCTTTTATTCCTTTTTCATAATTAAATGTACTATTACGTACAAAAAGTCAAAAAGTGTTAGTCACTCAGTCCTGTCAGACTCTTTGTGACTCCATGGACTGTAGCCCGCCAGGCTTCTCAGTCCAGTGAATTCTCCAGGCAAGAATACTAAAGTGGGTTGTCATTCCCTTCTCCAGGGGATCTTTCAGACCCAGGGGTTGAACCCAGGTCTCCTACATGAAGGCAGACTCTTTTATCTGAAACTGGAGTAAAAACACCACTTGAGGTCAGACAGGAACCACACAATGCCAACCCCAGTGTTCAGGCAGAGTGGAAAAACACCCTGGCCCTGAAATCACTTGTTTCTTCCTAGTTTTGCCCTGGATAGCTTAAGTGACTATCTCCACATGCTAACCTCCGAAAAAAGCTTCAGAATACCTAGCGTAGAGAATGATATGATGAGAATTACTGGGGTGATTCAAAGATCCAGGTACAGTGCCTGGCCCATCCCTCTTTATTGCCTTGCCCCCAAACTCACTTCCCTAAAACCCTCACTTGGAAAACTCCAGCTTCAAAGACCACAGGTGAAGCCAATGCTAGCCCACAGCACATTTCTGCTCTTGATGATCTAAAACTTTGGAAGTGAGGCAATTCAGACAAATGCTTTATTTTAAAAGGAGACCACCAAAACTAAGAGGCTAAGTAATTGACACTAGATCACCCAGGTGGGATTTATAAAACTGAGTTTAAACTGTACCTCATTTTTACTCTTTTGTCCACACCTAAATTTATTCTTACCTTAAACAAAAGATTGGAAGACTCACAGGTTAAATATGAATAGCTCTGCACAGAATGAGTACGAGGGAGGGAGGAACCATAAACCTCTCTCAACACTGCCTTTAAACCCACACTAATTTCTCCTCCCCAAAATCCTTCACAAATCCCATCCCTACTTTTCCCTAAAACAAACCCCACCAAAATCAAAAGGGGCACCTGGAGTTTGTTTTTTGTCATGGACATAACTCACCACCTACAAAAAAGTCACAACAAAGTATAGCTATAGTCATGGCTCCTAACATATATAAGACTCCAGAAGTACTGCCCTTTCATGGTCTATGGAATTCAGACATTCAGAGAAGCCATTATCCCTCCCCAAATAAAAATAAACGTCCGGAAAAAAAATAAACTGTATTAATCATTTTCTTTTTATTGCTTAAGTATACAAATTTTTAATTCCATGACTTTCCGTGTGTTTACAAAGCAAAAAACAGGACACAGGGTGGCAGTGTTGACTCACTTTAAACAAACAAAAAAAAAAGGAAAGCCATCCTTAAAGTGCCAACTTCCATGAAACGCAAAAATTCTGGTGAACACACTCATTGTAACATACATAAATAACAAAAACAAGCTAGTTGAAAGGTTACAACCTAATCATAGAACAAACTGACACAGCACAGGACTAAAATATAGGGAAAGACCAAAGTCCATGGGCCTACTACAGACAAAAAGTAAGGCCCCTAATCCACCTCCTCAATGGTGGGGCCAGACCCAGAACCCCCTTTAGGGGCCTGAGCCCCAAAGCCGCCAGCCCCGGGGCCGCCCGCCCCCTGGTACAGTCTGCTGATGATGGGGTTACACACCTGCTCCAACTCCTTCCTCTTGTGCTCAAACTCATCCTTCTCCGCCAAGGTGTTGGCGTCCAGCCAGGAGATCACCTCCTGGCACTTGTCCAACACCTTCTTCTTGTCCGCCTCGCTGATCTTGCCCTTCAGCCCCTCATCCTCCACGGCGCTCTTCATGTTGAAGGCGTACGACTCCAGCGCGTTCTTGGCAGACACCCTCTCGCGCT